ATAACATGGAGCTGTTGTGTTTATTCTGGATTAATTAATATCTTCATAAATTGTGTTTATTTAGGATGACTGAGAGCAGCCTGGATTGTATAATTTAGTTCAGGATATTGTAGTGAGATGCTTTCAATATGTGAGTAATTTCTCTGCTGACAGCATAAAGCTCTCACCTACCATCGTTTCATCTTTTAATAAGGTGGGTCACTAAGGCCTATATTTCTCCTTTGGCCATTGTTAGTGTTTTTGTGTTGGGAATTATTTTGCATATATGTAGAATTTGTATGGTCTTTTCTATTTGTTATGGTACCCGTCGCTTCAAATGGGATGAAGATGGGAAAGCAGGAGTTTGTACCACACAACCAGTACGGTATGTAGGCGCCTACACTTGTCTTGATGCATCTGTATTTTCCGTATCATGTTGGGTAATTTTTCAGTTATGCTGGGCTTATATTGTGGTAATGCTGCTGGTTTATCTGCTGTGTTTATGCTATCTCTATGTGCTTGTTTTGCGCTTTGAAAATGTCTTAATATATGCAACTGGATCAATAGTTCTTGGTTCATTTTAGACAACAATTCCTCGCAGAATCGTGTTAGAAATCCAGGAATGGCTGGAGGATATCCTCAACAAGGTTATCAAACTCAACCTCCTGCAAGCTGGGCTCCTCCTGGTGCGCAGATGCAACAACCTGGTTATGGTTACCTTCAACCTGGAGCATATCCAGGTCCATCTCCCCAATATAACACGTCTCAACCACCCTACCCTGGTTACCCTCCACAACAGGCCTCTGGTGGATATGCCTCTGGTTGGGATCAGACAACTGCACCAAATCAACAAACGTCTCAGGCAGGTGGTTATGATTACTATAGTCAGCAGGCAGCCCCACAACAGCAACAAACACCTGGAGGTTCAGCTGCTTCAACTGATACTACTGCCTACGGTTACAATCAGCCTTCAGCCACAGGTTACAACCAGGGGCAGAGCTACTCCCAAGATGGCTACGGCGGATATCATGCACCTGCTGCTCACTCTGGTTATCAGGGTACTGGTTATGATCAGCAACAAGGTTATAGCTCTACTCCAAGCTATGGTAATGTACCGAACCCAACTTTTGATGGCCACAACACTTCACATGGTACGCAAGGTGATGGCAGTCAAGCACCTACACCAGCTCAGTCATCAGCCGTGGGCCAACAAGGCTATCAGTCTGGCCAGCAGCCCAGCCCTACTCCTAGTTACCCATCTCAAGGCTCTACTCAAGCTGGGTATGGGATGCCACCTACTTCCCAAGGTGGGTATGGCACCCAGTCAGCAGCAGGTTATGGGCCCCCTCAAGCCCAAAAGCCTCCGACTAGTCATCCAGCCTATGGTCAGCCTCAGCAATCTCCTAGTGCACAAGGTGGCTATGCCCAACCTCCACCCGTGCAGCCCGGGTATCCACAGGCAGCAACTGCTCAATCAGGTTATGGTCAGGGTGATTCTGGGACTCAGCGAGCTCCATCCTCTTATGGCACTCCAACAGCTCACCCTGGATATGGGGCTGCTAGCTATGGACAGCAGCCACCACCTTACAGTAGTGCCTATGCTAGCGGTTATGTGCAGCCTCCGGCAGCATACTCTTCTGATGGCAATGGTGTTGCAAATCCGACATCCCAGTCTGTTCAACCTAGTACTGGGGGGGTTCCAAAATCCTCACCTCAGAGTTAATGGATGCTACTTGGAAGGATTAAGTGATAGCTAGCTCCTTCATATAAAGATTGTTTCCATATTTTACTATGCTTTACTTTGGTATTATGTTTAGGTTTCTGGTGTATTAAGAGAGTTGAAGTTTGTTTGTCTCGAGTTACTTATATGATCATGTTGGTCAAACCTCTTTTCTTCTCTCTAATATAAAAACTCTTAAAAGGATGCTTTCTTTGTAGGAATGTTCTCTTCCCTTCTCCCCGTTGTTCTATCGACTTAGCTAATTAAAAATTAGTTGATAAGCATTAACAAGTGTTGAAAATCATTTTTCGGGAGAAACTGATTTTTTTATAAACGGAAAAGGGTCAAAATTGCCCCCAAACTATATGAAATAGACCATTTATACCCTTCGTTACATTTTGGGATAAAAAATGCCCCTGCTGTTATCCTAAGAGACCACAAATATCCTCAAGAGTTAACACCCCAAATTTTTGTTGACGTGGCAAGCCACGTGAGACTAATCCTTCCACCTAAGCGTTGTCAACTAGGATTCACTACAAAAGAATTAGACCTTTAGCGGCAACAACAGTCGCCACAAAAGCCCAGAAAATCGTCACTAAAAGTTTTTAACATTAAATTCTAATTTTGTGTTTTTTTCTTCATTGTTTTAAAAAATCAAATATGATATAGATTAAGTAGGAGTTTGAAGACACTATATGTTTTATTTTTATGTCATATGTAAATGTATAAAATGTACAATGATGCATTATTATATATAGTAGGGGATTTGAATTGAGAAGTAATTTTGATTATTTTTCGTAATAATATTGGATGTTTTTAATATGGATATTGCAAATTATTTATTTTAGAAAATTAGGTCGCAATCGAAAATTAATTATCAGATTTTTTTGTTGAAAAAATAGGTTTTACTAGCGAATGGTTGTTGGAGCCTTAGTCACCACTAAAAATCACCCATAACCTTTAGTGGCAATATTTTGGGATTTTGTGGCGACTTTGTCGCCACTAAAAGTCAAGTTCTTTTGTAGTGAATCTTAGTTGGCAATGTTTAGGAGGAGAGATTAGTCCCATGTGGCTTGCCACGTCACTAAAAAATTAGGGTGTTAACTCTTAAGGGTATTTGTGGTCTCCTGAGATAACTGCGAGGGTATTTTTGATCCCAAAATGTAATGGAGGGTATAAGTGGTCTATTTCGCATAGTTCAGGGGCAATTTTAACCCTTTTCCGTTTTATAAATAAGCAGTTATGCATTTGTGTTCTAAGTGTCAAAATTTGTATAAATAAGCAGTTATGCATTTGTGTTCCAAGTGTCAAAATTTGTACTTTTTTGTTTCAGTTTACCTAGTACATTTTTAATTTGAATTTGTCCCAAAAGGAATAATATTCCTCTATATTTAAAAATAATGTATCTTTAAATTCCTTATTTTGTTCTTGAGATATGATTTATAGCCACATAAAATTTTATGGACTTTTTAAATTTATTTTGTGTACAATCAAATATCATGGGATGAAGGAAGTAATAAATTATTGTTTTAGAATTACAGGAGTCTGTTTAGATTAGGTGATTGATATCGTTGATAAATGATAAGCATCATGTGTTGAAACTATTTAATAAATAATTATGTTTTGTGTTAAAGTGTTAGAAACTTAATTTATAAATAAGATTCATATGTTCTTAAATGTATTTACAGAAATTACAAATTAAAAAAAATAATCTTATTGAGTAGAATAACAATGAAGAAATGAGATAAGAGGGAATTGCTCGAATGATAACCCAATGATCTGCGTTCCAGTCATCAAGAAAGCCAAAAAAGTAGAAAGGGGAAAATAAAAAAAATAAAAAAAACAGTGACGAAAACATTTTAGAAAATGGGGAGAGTTTGAAGTTATATTTTTGGGAAGTGTTTTGAGAATTAGAAAAGACATTAAGAATAAAATAATAAAATATTTATCAAAATAAATAGTAGCTATTAAGCAGAAAAGGTACAAATTAAAGACGACCAATTTTTGCCAAAGTTATTTTTAGTTTATAAGCATTAAGACTGAAAAAAAGAAGTTTATAAGCTACTTAATTTTTTTTCTTAAAAGAAAAGGACAAGTTACACATTTAGCTTATTGATCAAATAAATATGTATTAATATACAAAAATATATATACTAATTCAGCTTCAAAACCCTCTGTCTATCTCTCTCTGCAGCTGAAGGAATCATCACATTTTCGATCTTAGAGGTGATTCACTGTCTCTTTCTGCTTATGCCTACTTCTCTTCTTTTAATTATTTGATTTTTGTTTGTCTGAATAATTTGAAGGCCTTCAATTTTTCATTGTATGGGTTAGGTTAATCCTCAAATGGGGCTTCTTGAGGATTTATTATATGCTTTCAATTGCAATTTATGTTGGAATCTCTTCTTGGAAATATTTGTGTGTTTGTGGGGGTGGTAAAAGACTGCATTTTTAATGAAAAATTCAGATTATGTGAAATTCTAAAAAAGCGTAAACAAACAAATTGCAACTTGTGACCTGTTCCATGTGCAATGATGAAATGTGCCATTGTAGAGTGATTATAGTTTTCATAATTGTGAATCAATCACTTGTTGTAGGAAAATGTGTTAGGAGTTGGGTCTTTGATAGTTAAATGCCTTGCCCGTGATTAAAAAAAGGTTTCGTGTGTAATCCAGACATAGCTAGCTGAAGCTTATTGCCAATGTTGAGGAAAACAGAATGAACTATTTATGTTCCATTTTGATGTCGGTTACTTCAAAGAGTAGTGATGAATAGTAAAATGTGTGGAACCCATTATCTACTGAGTTCCGAGTTGTGTAAATACTGGCCCTCGAGGATTTCTCAGTTACAAAAAAATAAGAGAAGTAAATAGGAGTCTTGAAGCAGACTTATGCTTTGAAGCTAGTGTACTTGACCTTGCTACAGCCATTTGATGCAGGCTGATACCGTGACACTAAATTATCTCTATCATGAAGAGGACATCGCTGAACTGTAAACATTATCGATAACGTGTTGCGATTAGGTGTATAGAATTAGAAATTTAGTGTATGAAAACTGAAAAGTAGTTACGAATAAGTTTTTACATTTGAGTCAGAACTTAAAATGGGTTTGAACTTTATTGACATGGTTTTTACTCCATATATTCCAGTTGAAATGCATTTTAATTCTTCTCCGTATAGTTGTTTCTTCATATAATTCTCTTTAATTTGATCTTTTGAATTGTACTTTGTGCCAAACCCTAACAGATTTCACACTTTCATATACTTTTCTTCTATGTTCAACACTTGTGACAATGTTTTTCACAGTGCATTGTTATTTGTAGGTTAAACAATGGCGTCAAAACTGCCGATAGTGAAAGCAAAGGCCGTTGAAGCTTCAAAGTTCTTGACCAAGAATGGATGTGCATACTACAAGCAGATGTTGGAGCAGAACAAACAATACATTCAAGAGCCACCTACTGTGGAGAAATGCCAGCATTTGGCGAAACAAGTGTTCTATACTCGCTTAGCTAGGTTTGTTATTCATCACTTCTATCCTTTTAATGTACAAATACTTTAGTCGTTGTAGATAGTAAATGATGATTGCTTCAAGTGAGTGTTGTGAAAGGCGATCGCCTCATCGCCAATGGCGAGAGGCGAGGCAAGGCAACCCTTCATCGCCTTTTAGCTTTGTGGCGAGGCGATCTCCAAAAGGCGACGCCATGGAGACAAAAGGCGAGAGGCAAGAAAGGCGGGAAAGGCGTCGCCTTTTGTATTATCTTAAAAAAATGCAACCAATTTAGGGTTTTAAAAGTTAAAAGGTACATTTAGGGTTTTCCGAGTTCGGCCAGACTTTTCCGGCTACTCCAAAGTCCAACCAATACATATTTCTTCTTCAGATTTCATCTTCCTTGGTTTCTTTTTCCTTCTTCTTCTTCATACTTTAGAGTCACTTCTACCTCTGTTTTGACTTGTGTTCTGTTTTTTTCTCATTCAAGTTCTAGACTTTTAGTATGTACCATCTATTTTCAGTGTTTGAATTGAAATATTTGCTAATATGTTATTGCTATTGAGAATCTGATTATTTACATATGCAATTAAATATTTTAACTTTTTGGTATTAATTGGTATCGCATTTCAAAAAGGCGAGCGCCTCGCCGCTCGCCTCGCCTTGTGGCAAGGCAGACCCTTGTCGCCTTTTATCACCTTTCGCCGTCCAAAACACTAGCTTCAACCTACCTGTCCATTACTTGAAAGTATTCAATTGGTAATCAGCAGACAAGATGGACGGATGTAGGAAATGTTGGGCCAATCTTCTTACTGTTTTCGATGCATGTTATCCATAAGTTGGGTGTAGCTAGGTTACCTTAGGGCTGTAGGGTTTAGACTGCAAACTGTTCATCATCTTGTGGTTGTAGTATTTTTCTTGTTCTATCATCTCATTAGGAACCTTAATGATCCGTCTTTGAGGAATCACTTATTTATTGAAAAAACTTCCGGGACCCTATCCTCTCTAAGTTCCCTTGTTCACAAAAGTTGCTCGAGTTTGCATTTGTTGTTGATCTATGTTGTTCGGATCCTCCACAAAAATCGTGACTCCCCTATCGGATCCTCCAAAAATGCATAACTATTGGAGGATCCAACACACACACAACTGCATCTCTGGAGGATCCAAGCAACATAATTGTTGATGACTTCGCAAGGCGAGTTATCAAATAGAGTATTGCTCTTTGATCTTGTTGCTCTCACTGTCCTGCTTTCTGTGGCATGCTGATTTGTTTGATGATTTTTATACTGGAAAGTGGCATTGAGAATTTCTATGTGCCCCAAACATTTCATGTTAATCCATATGTAAAGTATGCTGTTAAACGGGATAGAGGGACTATATCTTTTGGAATTTTCATTGCCAAGAAAATAGAATATTACAGATCACCCAAAAAAGGACTGGACAATTTGGATTAGTATCTGCTGTGAGGATTTTTTTGGTTTGCTGAGAGCAAGAGTAATTCTGCTTCCATTTGTCGTAGTTATTCGTTGCAAAAAGTTTTATGCTTCTCTTTATAAATTATTGGCACATTGTTGAATTATGTCAGAGCAGATAGAAGATATGCTCCTTTTTCTTTCCTGATAGAAAACTTGTTCCATTTATACCTTTCATTCATCTTGTAGTAATGATATATCTTCTTTTTGGGACAGTATTCCTGGACGTTATCAAGCATTCTGGAAGGAACTTGATGATGTCAGGAACTTGTGGAAGCACAGACAGGAGCTGAAAATTGAGGATGCTGGCATTGCTGCTCTTTTTGGGCTAGAATGTTTTGCTTGGTTTTGTGCTGGGGAGATTGTAGGTCGAGGGTTCACGATTACTGGTTATTATGTCTAAATCTCCCAAATATTAGGTTTCAAAGTAATGACTTGTATCACTGTCGATAAAAGATCATCTTCAATCTCTAACTTGTGCGGGATAACACATACCAACGAGATACAGATTTTCAAATTTTGATGTTTGGCAAGTACAATTTACGTAGAGGATGAGTTAGGAGCCATATGTTTGCTTCAATAAAGCAGCTTTGAGCATATTGTTTTCATGATTACTGTTTCTTGTTACATAATTAAATCCCTGAAGATAACATTATCACTATAACATTCTTATACCTACAAGGGGTGTGTTGCGATGCAAGGATCACTCTTCCTTCAACTAAAGGTCTCAGATTGAGCTTTTGACATGGATAATCTTTTGGGAGGGAGCATTTTGCCTCTCTCTCTTTCCGGCATGAATCTGAATTGGCCGGACAATGAATTTCAGGTACTGGTGAGTGATTCTTTCTCCCAGTGTTTGCTTTTGGTTTTTTTTTTTTTTTTTTTCTGTTCCTGTTCATCCTTTGAAAGACCATCAGTGTTATACGTACCAAATAGCACGATGACTGATGTGTTTACGCTGTTCAATTGAAAAGAAAAGTTTCTTGGATATTGAACTTGAGTTTGTATCCTGAGAATGATATTGCCAAATTGTTTGGGTTGACGGATGAGGAAATTGCACGCCAGGTTTTCTTACCACCTCTCTCGTGATTTGAGTGTTTCTAAAAGATAAAAGTGTAAAGATTTGGATTGAGGGTGTTCAAACTGTGTTCATGAGTTTTCACCAAGAATCCAAGGACCTAATTGAGATTTTTTGGATAGTTAACTTTGGTTTATCACATTTTCAATTGATTTTAATGGAACGTCCAGTTTGCTTTGTTTATTGTAAAGCATATCTGATGCAAGATTCATCAGCCTTGAAGTCGATTTATTTCCATAATATTTGTTGCAACTTCATTTAGTTACTAGAGCCTTATAACTCAATACACAAATTCTAATTTTTCTGGAGTTCTCTTTTCGATTTAAGACGCATGCATTTCCACGCTCTTTTGAGACTCCAAAAAATGGACAAATTTATCTTCTTAGAACACATACAAGATTGTATGTCAAAAAGGATAATGGTCACCATACTAATCACTACATTTATGAGTTCCATATTAAGTAGGTCCTCCTTTCCTACAAAATGTTGTAATATGGTGTCTTGCTTAGATCGCAATTGCTTAGATCAACATGAGAGTCCAATTACATTGCCAGAATTCATGTTAGCTCACTGTACTAAGCTTCTCTTGAGCACGAGTGTGGGTCTAAGAAAGGCTAGACCACATTAAGCTTACCTTGCATTTCTCTCTATATTGTTTTCACGTATGAACTATTAGATCTCATCAAGATGCACTTAATTTGTTCTTGCTGTTTCTACAAATGCTTAATCAAGAGAAATCTATTGTATAATAGAAAATAATTCGTAGATTTACAAAAATAGATGATATTTGTATAGAGTCTGAAACTGAAGCCACAAAGATTGTTGCATCTCTGATTTGTTATCTTTCTACGCACAAGTGCTGCCCCAGAAACAGAATACTGGCACTTCACAACTGTTGAATCAAGTCTCTCTAATAAAAGTGATACCTAACTAAGAGAAACAACACTTGTAAATTGTTTATAAAATCAAAAATCTTTCAGGTGGCATCACAGATTGCTTCTTGATCTCTGTACTATTTCTGTAAAGAATCTCTGTCCTCCCTAAAGTATGTTCTTCTTAAAAGCCGATACCATCTTTGGTGAAAACAGAAAAACAAATGCTAAGAGTGATCCGAAAAGCATTTTCAAAAAATATTGCATGGGATCATTATCAACTTCTTCCTCTGTACCAGTGGACGTTGACATTGCCATTGTCGAAGGCAATGCTTCAATAACTGCATCTGCCAGATCAGTTATGAAAGAGGAGGTGCAATTCAGAGCAGGAACACGACCCCAATTTTCAATTCCCGATTCAAGTGCTAACTCCTTGTATTCCATATCAATCTCTTCAAGAGTCTCTATATGCTCGCTCACAAAGCTGAAATTCCAATAGCATGGATTCATTAGGTGAGATATCAAGAATAAAGCAAAGAGATTGTGTTATTTTGCAGACAAGTAAAAAGTAAGCCAACAAACATTCATATGAGAAGCACTTCCTACCAAGTCAACAAAAGCATTGTCCCTTACTAAATCCCACAACTAAAAACATATCTCAGAGACAGTTGGCTATTGTCGCTCCAAATTCTCACATCAGTTTTATGAATATGCAGGAGACTTAAAACCATTAGGATAATACCACTAACTGAAGAATTTCAAGACACTTCAAGTAAGGTAAAACATCTCACCCCCTTCTCTTTTTCTTCCAACTAATCAAAGAGGTTCTCACGGTTAATAGCCGAATTATTAATTTTCCAACCTCTCATGCACAAGAGATTAGCATCCATAAGTGACAATCCTTTCTATAAATTCAAGTTATCAATTTGGAGCAATAGGACCCATGAGTCATGTGGTCTTCCTGTTACCTTCTCCAGTAAATCAGATCTGGCTAGAGAAACCATAGTAGACTTGAAATAGTTTTCAACAAAATGTATCCATGTTAAATTTGCATGACAGCCCATAGAATGTCTAAAAGAGGTCGTTAATCTAAGAAAAAATCGACCAACAAATTGATAGCACTTAGTTTTGATCCCATGACACCATAATTCATTGAGAAGATAAGTTTCAGGTGCTAGAATGCATACCTTACTGGAACAGCCAACAGAGACTTTACACCTTTCTGTCCAAGCTCCACAAGAACTTCATCAGTGTATGGTTTCAACCATTGTACAGGACCAACTCGGCTCTGAAATGCAAAAGGATGATACTGAATTAATTCACCACAAGGGAAAAGTACCTTCATCCCACTATATTTAGTTTTTGGTATATTTCTTGTATACAGGAACTTCCCCACATTAATGAAATTGCTTTTCTTCATTTTACATAGTATAAGAGTAAAATATTATAAGGGATTATTAAACCGAGTTTGGAGAAGAAGAGTTAGGAAAATCTGAAATGTAAAGAAGTATAAAGTTGGTAAAAAAAAATGTCACGTCAAATTTGAAATAATACAAGTAAAATTCATATTAATCTGAATTGTTGAGGGATGAACTTTTACAATTTTAGGGAAGACATCATATTTTATGAAACAGACAAAAATAGAGGTGCAATGGGGAAAAGGGGAGTCATATTCTGTCTCAACCCCCAACAATCCTCCTCAAAAAAAAAAACTGTTTTTTTTAAAAAAGGAAGAAAAAAGAGTAGAAAAATATGGAACAGTTCCACTTTGACATGAAGACTGATCCGTATAAGCTCATTGAGTTTGGCTAAACTGAACTTTGAGTCATTGCAGCATGGAAAACTACGTTTATTTCCCATCTATAATAAATTACTTAGAGGGAACCATTGGGAAGAGCTGAATGTACGTGGTATTGCAGAATGTCAAGAACTACGGGTAACACAAGAAGTGATCTGGAGGACTTAAGCTTTAGGACAAACCTGGTAAGCCAAGGTATGATCATTGTTGATTCTTCTAGCTTTCAGCTCTCTCATTATCAAGAAAATGCACTCCTCCATCTGATCTCTATATGGATCACCAGCATTTTCAACATAACTAACTGGCACTCCATGGGCACTAAAGAAAATCATGACCTAAAAGTACATCCCTCTTAGAATTCAGTTGGAATAGTCAATAAGTCCCAGTGATAATAAAGAAAGGTTCATCACCAAACTAAAAGCATAACCATGATGATCAGAAACTAAGGCCACACAAATAAAAAAAAAAAAGATATGCTACCTCCTCGGGTTTAGTGAAAGTATGCAACTCCTGCTCAATCAAGTTTGCCATGGACTTGATGTAACCTTGTCGTTGGTACCAGGATTCAATGACAGCAACTGGCAGTCTGGACAGATAAGAGTCTTCTCTGGGAGTACACAAAAAGTTAAGATATTGAGTAGAGACAGGAAAAAGTATATGCATACACTTCAATTTAAGAACATGACACTCCATACATGCAGTAACCAAATTGAAAAGAAAAAGAGAGTTACTTGAAAATATTCTGAAGAGCACGGACACTTGAACCAGTTGTAGAGATAGAGTATTGAGGATATAAAGGCAGTACAACAAGCTTTGTAATCCCATCTCTTTTTATCTGCACCATAACAGGGAACTCAAATTTAGATCAAACTTAAGACCTACGAAATTTCCAGCTCACAGGAGATGAGTGATTCTTAGGTCCATTCAATCCAACCATTCATTTGGGTGTCCTCGAAAGGATAACTGCTGGCTGGGATCAAGTAGATGTAGCAAAACATGTTCCACCCAAGAATTTCAACACATAAATCTTTTTATCAAAAGTATCAGCATATAACTATTTGATTATATCTGTACATAAAAGCAGTGAGGTTGTACTACAAGCTTGCTAAGAAAAACAGAGCACATTAACAAGACTTTGCTAACCAGAAGCCAAAACTATCACATCAAGATAAATTAAATGAAAAAAAAGCATAATGAATTTTCTTCAGGTAATACTGCCAAACAATGTAATCAGAACACAACACATAATTGCTAAAACTATCAATTTTGCTTCTTACAAATGAAAATGGACATGATTATCTTCAAAATGTGAATTACTCTTGGCCAGGCTTCAACAAAAAGGATTTATTTACCAATCAAAATATCAGTAAACAATAGTATAGATCACTTTTGTTTTTTGAGGTGTATAGATCACTGAATATTCTTAGCATAATTGATTTAAACAAATGCCAGAATTAAACGTTAGCTCCTCATAAATGGACATTGACAGACAAGTTAGTTTATAATGTGAAACATTCTAGTCGTGGACTAAGATGGACATTATCCAGACTTGAAAACCCAAAAAACAAAAATAAGAAGCTATATTTTAACATATTGCAAGCTGAAAAGGGGTTCTTTAGGAGAGTTCCTCACATTTTACTACTTCGATCCAGATTTTGCTTGTAAAAAGCTTGCTAGTCCTCCAATTTTAGTTCAGTAGTACTTATCAAACGTTTTTTTAGTTGAGCAGTAATTTCTTTTTTATCAGTAAAATGATGAGCAGTACTTATCAAACAATTCTTTTAGTTGGATAGTTCCTTACTTCTCAATAAAACGTGCACATCCTGATAAAAAGGAGAGTTGGCTTGAAATGCTTTGGTCATGTCCTAAGTAGACCTTCCGATGCAATGGGT